TCAATCAAGAAAATCTAGGTTATGCTGTAGAGGCAAAGAACCCTGGAATCTTTGTGGTTTTAAACAACAAAGGTTTATTTCTCATTAATGCCACGTGCCAACTGAAGGCCAGCAGCATCTTTCTGCTAATCAGTCTCTTAGGGCACCAGGCCGACTGCACAGCCATTTAGTGTTGCTAGCCCCCATGGCAGGTGAGAAGAGAGCTCAGGAAGGTCCTGGTTCAGCAATTAATTGCTCTGACCCAGGAGTGACATAACACTTCTGCTCACAATTCAATGCTGAACTAGCACTTGGTCTGATCCAAAAACAACGGCAATAGGAATATACTGGGAAGAGAAGTGAACTAGAAGTATTTTCACCACTATTAATTTAAAAAGAAATTTAAAGATTAGATAATCCAAAAAAGGAAAAATAGAAAGACAAACACATTTCTGGGTTAAATCAATCCAAGAGGCTGAGTTTAAGCTCTACTTTCTCCTACCAAGACAACCATCATTTGAATCATGTGTTGATCATTCCCTTCCTTTGCTTTTTATGTCATACTGCATCTACAAATATTTCTTTAAAATTTTATTTTGTTTTAACTTTATATAAAGGGTGTCATGGTGGATGTAATCTTCTTTAACTTAATATGATATTGCCAATATTCATCCATATTGTTCATGTTGCTTTAGCCATTCAATTTTAATGCTAATTTAATTTTAATGTCTCCTCTTGTATAGGTACAAGAATTTACCTTAGATACCATCTAAGAACTGTTGTGTCATAAAGTATAACTTTAGGAGAAACGTCAAGTTGCTTTCCAAAGTGCATTCCCTCTGGCAACGTATAAGATCCTGTGGATGCACTTTCTCTTCAATATATAATAGTATCAGACTTTGATTTTTGTCAATCAAATGGGTATGAAGTAGTATCTCACTGTGGTCCTGATTTGTAATTCTGATTGTTGATGGTGATAAGCATCTCTTCATATTTCCTTTACTAAGAAATATATATTCATATCTTTTGTTGATTTTTCTTTTGGCTTGTTTGTATTCTTCATATGTCAGCAGCAATTGGAAAATATAATTAAAGAGAAGATATTTCAATACTAGAAATTATCAAGTATCTAGGAACAAATCTAGCAAGAGGGTGTTCAAAGCCTCTACAGGAAAAATTCTAAAATTTTATGAGAAGATATTAAAGAAGACCTAAATAAATGAAGACACATACTGTGTTAGTGGTAGTGTTCACAATGTGAAAATGTGAAACCTCCCCAAATTGATCTAAAGACTCAATGCAATTCCAATAAAAATTTCAACTGGGTTTTCCATGAAATTTGGTAAAATCACAAAATTTTTATATGAAGGGGTAAAAGTTCAAGAATAGCAAGGAAACTTCCAAAGAAAAAGAACAAGGGGACTAGACTACTAGCTATCAGGAATATTGCAAAACTTTAAAACACTGTGTTATCAGTGCAGGAATAGATAAGTGACCAATGGATTAGAATAAAGAACAGAGAAACAAGCTCATACATGTTTGAAGCACTGGTATACAACAGAGGTAGCACAGCAGATCAACAACAAAAGGTGGGATCTCTTCAATAAATGAACCCGGGAGAAAATTGGTTATCTATATGGAAAAGATGAAATCAGATCTATCCTTCATACCATATAAAAACAAACAAAACACTCACCAAATGGATTAAGGACTTAAATGTCAAATCAACACTTTAAAACACATCAGAAACGCATTTCTTTATGCAATGTTTTGAATCTGCTACAGCTTATAATAAAAACGATTTTTACAAACTTTTAATTGCAAATAGGGATTAATATCTTTTAGAACTTATAGTAGGGTGCTAATTTCTTAAAATACAGAAAACATTGACTATAAAAGAAGAACTAACAAATTTGTCCATATTAAAATTAAATACTTTCTTCATTAAAAGATAAAAGTTAAAAGATAAATTACACATTGTGAGAAGATATTCATAATTTAACTGGCAAAGAACTAGTATCTAGAAAAAAGAACTCAGGACTTCCCTTGGGACACAGTGGTTAAGAATCTGCCTGCCAATGCAGGGGACATAGGTTCGATCCCTGGCCCAGGAAGATCCCACATGCCATGGAACAACTAAGATAGTGTGCCACAACTACTGAGCCTGCTATCCACAACTAGAGAGCTGCATGCCACAACTACTGAGCCCATGTGCTGCAACTACTGAATCCTGCACACCCAGAGCCCGTGCTCTGCAACAAGAGAAGCCACCACAATGAGAAGCCCATGCACCACGATGAAGAGTAGGCCCTGCTTGCCACAACTAGAGGAAGCCCGCACACAGCAACGAAGACCCGAAGCAGCCAAAAATAAATAAAATTAAAAAAAAAAGAACTCGTGAATATTTTCTTTAATTAGAAATTGACAGCACTGTTTATTTACAATTTTTTTCATTACAAAATAAAATAATATGTATGTCTCTGTTACATATACACATCCAACTTGTACGAAGTATAAAAACTCATAACACAGTTTTATAAAACATGACTACAGTAGACGTAACTGATGTTCAAGGACTGACACATTACCCCTCTTTTGGAACACACAAGATAATTTTACTTCCTGTCCTCCAAGTCATATGACTTACTTTTGCTAAATGAAACATAAGTAGGAGTGACACATTCCCAATGCTCAATTCTCAATCTTCTCCTGCCATGGTGAACTCCTATGACAATAGCAAATCATGGTGTGTAGTGACCATGTCAACCCATGGAAGACATGAAACTAGAGTGGAAAAGAGATCTTTATTATTTCAAACAACTGATACTTTAGGGATATGTGTTGCTGCAGCTTAAATTGGCTTAACCTGATTTCATAATTTTCAGTACATCTGAAAGTGTATTTGCCCCTTCTTGTTCATATTCCCTTGCCTTCCCACCACCCTGAATTTTGTGTTTCATTCCTTTGATTTTCTTTATATATTTCCTATATTCCTAAAAGAATATACCGGCTTTGTATGATTTTGAACTTCTATACATGGTATCAGACTGTATATATTCTTCTGCAATTTGTTCTTTTCATATATTAAGTTTATGAAATTTATACATGTTAATACATGTGACTATAGTTCATATATTCCCACTAGCTGTATAGTAGCCCAGTGGATGATTATACCACAATTTATTTATCCACTCCCTTGTTAATGAACACTTGGGTTGTTTCCAGCTTTTTAATATTATAAACAATATAAACAAGATTATTAAGAACTTTTTGACTTTCCCAAATGCCCATATGGGTTTCTCTAGAGTAGTCTTGTCTTTATTTTTGCTGGCAACCAACCCCATCTTCATAGATTATTTAAATATATATATATATATAAAATTTTATTTTTGCGGTACGCGAGCCTCTCACTGTTGTGGCCTCTCCCGTTGCGGAGCACAGGCTCCGGACGCGCAGGCTCAGCGGCCATGGCTCACGGGCCCAGCCGCTCCGCGGCATGTGGGATCTTCCCGGACCGGGGAACGAACCTGCGTCCCCTGCATCGGCAGGCGGACTCTCGACCGCTGCGCCACCAGGGAAGCCCTAAATATATTTTTAAGGCTGGAGAACAGCTGGAAGGAGCCTTAAAAATTAAAGATTCAGCTGTTCTAGTCTTATAAATAAGAACTTCAAGACAAAAAGATTTAGAGGCAGAGCTGGGAGATCTTCTATATACCAATCAGCGTTTGGCTATGAGTATACAAAGATGCTGAGATGTTTTCTTAAGATGATCAAAGACTAGTGAGTTGACGTCTATGCTCTAACCTCTCACTGAAATGATAGGTCTTTAAGTTAAGGTCCTTAACGTACGAAACGTTACTTCCACATAATGAACCCAATGTTTAATTTGGTCTTCTACATTAAGTCTTCTTTCCCCTGGCAAACTCACCTCTGCTAACACATAATCTCTGTGAAATTTTGCCAAGCTCCACCCAACCACCAGCACAGTAAAGTTCCTGCTAATTCTGTAGCAAGCTCTTGTACAACATCTACTATCACATTATATTATAGTTTGTATCCTCATTAGACTATAAGCTCTTTGAAGGCAGGGATGAGGCCTTGTTCATATCAGCATCCCTAATTGCAGAAGCTGATACCCATAACTTCTGGTCAGACCAGAAGCAGGGGTACTAGTACTCCATACATCTGAACATGGGAATGTCAGTTAATTACAAACTGTAGTGTAACTTTTATGATTTAGTTTTAAAAGGTCTCCGGACCAGTCAAAATTTCCTCGATCTACATAATCTACTCTGGCCTTACATTACAAATTTACTTCCTTTTCCACTTGTCAGCCCTAGATTATTTTCACAACCATGCTAAAAATGCACAAGCTTACCTGAGAAAACATCCAGTTTTCTCACATACTCTAATTAAAGGCATGGCAGAGCTTATTTAATTTTCTCCCAGAATGTATAAGTTATGGCACCAAGAATGGTGTAAGCTCACAGAAGAGGTGTGCACTACCAGGATCACTGTACAGAACTTTACGAAATTTCAACCACAATCAAAGCACCGTTTATATTACCAAGAGTTTCTCACAAAGTATCAGCAAACTTAATTTCTTCATTGAAAGATAACAAAATAGTACAAGTCCATTCAATGATTACGTTATAAAGCTGGAGAAGGAAGCACAAAATTTTAGCTTACACTAAAGTCAGTAGATATGGATGGATGGATGGACAGAGGTGTAGATAGGTAGCTAGATATTTCACATCTATCTTCTCAAAGACCCTTTTGGTTTGCTGACTCTCAAGAGTTGGAAAGAACTGCAAAAATCACCTGGCAAGTGAAAGCAAGACTCCAGATGTCTTATGAAAAGCACCAACTTTTTGTATTTATTCAGACCCCTGTGATCCTTTTTCCCAATCATTGCCTGCTTCTATAAATTCATCACAAACCTAATATGGTGTGTGGCCCTTCTCCTTCCTTTACTCAGACCCCAACCCTCCAACCACTGATCTATGCAGCAATCCCCCTAATAGGTCACTTCCTCTCCCAAGTCCCCTTCCTTTCACCGGAAAAAGTCAAATCCCTGAAATAAATGCCTGAAGTCTCTTTTCTAAAAGTAGACCCCAGTCCTCTGTGCCTGCCCCCCTCCCCCAGCCGTGGCTCCAAGTACATCCACCTCTGGCGCCCTCTCAAGCCTCTCCTCCCACTTATAGCTCCTTCCCCTAACACAGATAACCCTTTTCCCCGCCCCCTTCCCCTCAAAAACTGCAACCCCGCCCCTCCCCCTTAACAGACCCAAGAATTAAATCTGTGCAGACCCGTCCCTTTACCTTTAGTCTGCTTTAGTCGCCTCAGCTCCTCCTCAGAGAAGCCAGCCCAACCCTGCGCCATCCGCCTCGACTTGCCAGCACGCCCAGAACGCCCAAGCCTCAGAACCCCAATTGCCAACACAGCTACCCAGGCACATCCGGGTTCTTCCCCGGCCGCGGCTGACCAACCAATCAGCGCATCGAGCTCTGGACGCAAGGCCCCCTCTCCCCTGCAGCAGGACCCGGCTCTCTTCGAGGCTCTCTCCGTCAGTGCCGGACAAACTGCGTGAAGAAATCGTGGCCTCGCAGACTTTCATTTCCCCTGACCTGGCTGCTCTTTCTCCCTGTCTCCTATGCTTGTTGGGTTATCGCTTCAAGAGGTAAAGGGGGAAATAGCAATGGAAATAAATGTGGAGATAAACAGGCAGTGAGGAAGTGACTACGAGTCGGTGGCGGAAAAGGGAGGACAGAGCTGCCTCTTGGCGCCCTCGAATTTACTGGGGCGGAGCACTCTACGTGTTGGTGGTGGAGGGTTTCGCGGCGTGGCTTGTAGTGGCTTCTTCCAAAACTGCGCTGAAATCATCCCGCAAGTTGACTCAAGAATGTTCAGATTTAGGCTTTTAATTATAAAGAATCATTTCAGAGAACTGGGGTATAATAGTGGAAAAGGAACAAGACACGTTTAACAGCGTAGCCAGGTCTCCCCCAGGCTGTAGCGACTCCTAGATTTCTGTTGATTGGGAGTTGGTTCTTCGATTTTGTGAAAGATTCTCGCTAATCTGTAACCTTTCTCCTAAGGGATGTCTAAATCCCTCCTCTTAAAAATGATCTGTCCTCTGTTTTTATGTTCAGAGAAGACAATGTAAAAACGTCGGCGCTGGGGGATGGGAAAACACTTCCTAGGCCTCTCCTGCCTGGAGTCCTGATTTCAATGTTCTGGTACTACCTTGAACACGTTACCACTCTGGGCTTCCATTTTCTCATTTTAAGCAAGATTTTGGAGATTAAAAGATGCAAACGTTGTCAAAGTACATATAGATCAGGATGATTTAAATGAGACCACTTAATTTTTCGTGTTTCTTTTTTCACTGTTTTGCATTTTTAAAACGAGTTATTTTGGCTTACATTTAAAAATCACATGTGTGGCTTTTGGTTTTAGTGTGTCAATGTTTTTAAACAAATTGAAATAAAGAAGTAGACTAAAACTAAAATACTACACCAAGAAAAGAGTTGGAATGAATATTTCAAGCTTAAATTGGTGATTAGAAGGTGAAGGGTGTTTGGAATTCTCTTTGTAACCTTTAAGCTTTTAAACTTAAAAGCGATTTCTTAAATTTAGGTTTGCACAAACTCTTCATTTTAAATGTGGACTCATTTTTCCTAACATTTAAAAATATGCTATCCAAAAGGATTGGAGGAGGCAGATTCATCCAGTTTTTGAAGCTAGACTAAATACGTTAAAGTATACAGATAATCTAGCTTCAAAATAGTAGATGGGGCTCGGTACATTCTGGTAGTTAATTCAGTTTGCCATTTACAGGCATCAGCTATCTAGTTCCATCTAATAAAAATGAACCACCTTGTATGCCCCATGTTAAATTTTATACATAAACTTTCTTTAGCTCACTTTGGGTAGATTTCAAGAAGTGTAATCATAATAGAGATGAAAATTAAGGTATTTTTAAAAGTTTTGCATTAACCCTGAATGAGAACCAAAGCACGAGCAAGATTATGGTAAAAGACAACATCTGTATAAAGTTATAATTTCCAATTTGCAAGCTTCTGGATCTACTGTTTGTTGTTTCTGTTAGCTCTCCCTCATGGTGACTGGTTTCTTCAAATAATGTATATTTTATTGGGAGTTTATCTTCAAAAAAGTTCTGTGAGAGCCCTTTATATCTTGGATTGAGAGACTACAGATTGGTTTTGCTGGTCCCTAGAAGTTTCATTTGCTTTAAACCAGATTTAAGGTAATTTTTTAAACTTGTAATATAAATTTAGATCTAACCCCCATGTATGATACAGGCCTCAAGTATCTGTAGATGCCCTTTAAAAATATATATATATGTATACATATATATATATAAAACTCAGAGATAACAGTCTTCCTTACTGCTTTTACAAAGCAGTAGGCTGAGTTTTCTCTAATCCTCTGTTACAATTTAGGAGTTGTAAATTAATTTAGGAGTTTCCACACTCTGAACTTTATTTCGGTGATCTTGTCTCCATGTGTGTTTAGGAATCAAATCCCCAGCACACATTCAGGTAGAGTACCCCTTGGATTTGCTTTCTACATCTCTTTTTGCTTTCTTTTAAGTTCTGTGATGTATTTTTTCTTTTAAATAAAAACATGTTGTGTAGTATACAGCATTTTTGTGTTTGTAGCAAAAGGGGACCATCTGTGACAACTTAGACTATTATATTGGCTCCAGTTGATTCTCCAACAGAGAAGCTAGAGTAATTTTTTAGAAAAGAAAAATCTAATGTCTATAGCCTGCCTAAAACTGTAAAACAGCTTCCCATTGCCCTTTGAATAAAATCCCAGTTCCTACATGAGCCTGCATGATCTGATCCCTGCCTACCTCTTACATGACCATTGTGCTGTCTTTCCCTTTATTCCACATTCCCTACACTCCAGCCAGGTTGGCTTTCTTTGGAGTTTTAAAGCATGCCAGTCTCTCCTGGCATCCTCTACTGCCCTACCCAAGGCGTTCCCAACTCCTGTTCCATTTGGCTATAATGATCTTTACTTTATCTGGCTGGCTCTTTCTGCTTCAGGTTTTGACCTGAATGTCCACTTAGACTTCAGTGACTACCCTATTCTATCCAAATAGCACCCCAGTTTTTTACATTTCTGTGTTCTTTATTATTTTCACTTAGCACTAATTGCAACTCCTAAATTATTTGCATTTGTTTATTTTCTGTTTCCCTTTACTAGTTAATATCTCCACAAGTTCAGGTGATGCATCTTCTATTTACTCAGTGTATAAGTGTTTGACACTTACTGAGTGCTCACATAAATATTGAAAGAAGAAACCTTTCAAAGTTAAGTACTGAAACATTTCCACATCTTATATATTCTGAGATTCCTTTCCAGTATGAGTTTCTATGAACCCCATTTGTTACTTATTGCTAGTTGCAGCCACGGCCTCATGGTTTAGTAAATAAAAAACATTAAAAATAGGCTGAAAAAGGACTTCCCTGGTGGTACAGTGGTTAAGAATCTGCCTGCCAATGCAGGGGACATGGGTTTGATCCCTGATCTGGGAAGATCCCACATGCTGTGGAGCAACTAAGCCCGTGCGCCACAACTACTGAGTCTGCGTTCTAGAGCCCGTGAGCCACAACTACTGAAGCCAACACACCTAGAGCCCATGCTCCACCACCACAATGAGAAGCCTGTGCACTACAACAAAGAGTAGCCTCCACTTACAACAACTAGAGAAAGACTGCATGCAGCAACCAAGACCCAACTCAGCCAAAAATAAATAAATATAAATAAATTTATTAAAAAAATAGGCTGAAAAGAAGATGCCATTTTATAAAGCCTTTAAAATAGCATTTCAGCAGTATCCCATAATTTTCAATATATGTCTTGCACATCTATCAGATTTATCCATAAGTAATTAATAACATGATGCTATTGTAAATAGCAATTTTATTCAATTTTTAATATTTTGTGTCTATATAGAAATAAAAATCAATTTTTGTTGATCAACCATGATAAACACACTTTGTTTTTAATTTTGTATTTATTTGTTTTTATTTTTGTCTGTGTTGTGTCTTCATTTCTGCACATGGGCTTTCTCTAGTTGCGGAGACTGGGGGCTCCTCTTTGTTGTGGTGCGTGGGCTTCTCATTGTCATGGGTTCTCTTGTTACAGAGCATGGGCTCTATGCACACGGGCTTCAGTAGTTGTGCATGGGCTTAGTTGCTCTGCAGCGTGTGGGATCCTCCCGGACCAGGGCTCGAACCTGTGTCCCCTGCATTGGCAGGCAGAATCTTAACCATTGTGCCATCAGGGAAGCCCAACACACTTAATAGTTGTAGCAGCATTTTTTAAAGTAGATTTCATTGGATTTTCTACCTGGATGATCATGTTGTCTGCAAACGACAGTTTTACTTCTTTCTTTCTTCTAATCTACATGCCTTTTCTTCTTTTCTTGCCTTATTGCACTGGCTAGACCCACCAGTATAATGTTGAATAGAAAAATGAGATTGGGTATCTTTTCTTGTTTCTGATCTTAGGGGAAAAGCATAAAGTCTTTCACCATTAAGTGTGGTGCTAGCTTTAGGTTTTTTTGGTAGATGTCCTTTATTAGGTTGATGTCCTTTCTATTCCTAGTTTTCTAAGAGTTTTTATCAGAAATGGATAATGGATTTTCTTGCATGTGTTTTCCGGGTCTATTGACATGATAATATGATTTTTCTTTATCAGATTCTTAATATGGTGAATTGCATTGATCAGCTGGCCAATGTTACACCAATCTTGCATCCTGGGATAAACTCTACTTAGATGTAGTATAGTACATTATGCTTTTTGTATATTGGATTTGATTGGCTAAAATTTTTGCATATATTCATGAGAGATACTGGTCTAAAGTTTAATTTTGTGTAATGTTTCCCTTGTTTTGGGGTCAGGGTAATACTGGTTTCACCAAATGAGAAATATTTTCTTCTCTTTGATTTTCTGAAAGACTTGTGTAGCATTGGTATTAATTCTTCCTTCTATACTTGGTAGAATTTACCAGTGAAGCCATCTGAATTTTCCTTTTTGGGAAACTTTTTAACTACAAATTGAATTTTTTTAATAGATAAAGGCCTACTTAGATTATTTATTCTTGAGTGATTTTGGTA